GTGTGACGACAAATATAAACCCCCCCCCCCCCCCCCCATAAGAACATAGACTTGTGCAATGATTCTGCTGACTGTATATTTATTACATTCTATATTTATCCCTATGCAATACATGTCATCCTTTGCATTGTTGCAATTGCCACACTGCTAATACCCCTTTAAATACAGTAAGCCGTGCATGGCTGCAAATGAATACAATGTGTCTTTGTAAGTGTGTGTAGACACAAATGATATAGTCATGGCATTGCCATCCTGTACATTGGACACAGTTTACAAATTGCACATCAACACACTAATTTATAAATCTCAACTTCTATTGAGTCTATTAAAAGCCCAGAGACGTGGATCTGCTGGGATCAACGTGTCTGAGTGACTGTAAAATTATTTCTATGCAAATACTCTCCCTTGGCAAGCAATAAAGAGCTCCACTTTCCCATAAGTTCTTTTTTTTTTTTTGCTTGTAATGGAGATAAAATAACATGGCCAGGAAAATGGGGGTCCTGCTAGGAGATATGGAGGAGCTGTGCGCCCTGAGGAATGTGAGTGCCTTGTGTCTCTGCAATATGCTGATCACTGGATGATATTTAGAGGGAAAGCGCTAATGGGCAATCTGGTGTTTATTTTGAAAGTGCTAACAATGATTTTTCTTTGGTAAAAAGGCAGTGTGTGTGAGAGTACGGATGAGTGGCTTTTGAACATAGGCTCTGACAGATGGTGCAGGGTATAGGTGCGCTCTGCTCCTCCAGTCTGCTGGGTGGAAGGAAGGATGGATAGATGGCTATATGGAAGGAGGAAGGGGAGATAGATGGATACATGGAAGGGTGGAGGAGAGATGGATTGATGGATATATGGAAGAAGAGATAGATGGATACCTGGAAGGGTGGATCAAGGAAGGAGATTTGGATATATAGAAAGTCAGATAGATGGATCTATGGAAGGAGGAAGGGGAGATAGATGGATACATGGAAGGGTAGATGATGAAAGGAGATATGGATATATAGAAGGATGAATTTATAGATATATGGAAAGAGGAATGGGAGATAGATGGATACATGGAAGGGTGGAGGAAGGAAGGAGATATGGCTATATAGAAGCATGGATCTATGGAAGGTGGCAGGGGAGATAGATGGATACATGAAAGGGTGGAGGAAGGAAGGGGATATGGAAATACAGAAGGATGGATTGATGGATCTATGGAAGGAGGAAACGGAGATAGATAGCTACATAGAAGAGTGGATGAATAAAGGAGATAAGGATACATAGAAGGATGGATAGATGGATCTATGTAAGGAGGAAGGGGAGATGGATGGATACATGAAAGAGTGGAGGAAGAAAGGAGATATGGATATATAGAAGGATGGATAGATCGATATATGGAAGGAGGAAGGGGAGATGGATGGGTACATACAAGGGTGAAGGAAGGGAGGAAGGAAGGAGTGAAAGAGATGTGGATATATAAAAGGATGGATTGATGGATCTATGGAAGGAGAGATAGAAGGATACATGGAAGGAAGGAGATATGGTTTTATAGAAGGATGGATATGGAAGATGCTGGAATGAGAGATACATGGATATATAAATGGATGGTGTAAGGAGAAAGATGAAAATGGATGGCTCCAGGGCTGAGTGCCACATATCCCAGTTCTGAAATGGAACTGCCTTGCCAGCCAAAGCTCCAGCCAGGCTCCCAGGCGGGCTAGGTGCCATCCACAGCGGCTCAGAGCTGTTTCCTAGCCGGGTCTCATCCAGAGACCAGCTCAGCCGGTAACCACAGGCTATGTATCCATATCTGGGTCACAGCTCTTCCTGGACTGGGACCCGGCGCTGTCTAATCACTGCAGCCAACCACTTACATCTGGGCCCCTCAAATGACCTCCTAATTCTATGGTAATGCCGTCTGTCAGCAAAGGAAATAAGCAAATAATATTTTTCTCTTCATCTGTAATATTATTCTGCAGCTGCTAACAGTTTAAAATGAATCTCAGGGACACTTTGCTGCTGAAGGGGTGTACTAAATTTAGGGGCAGCTCTGCCTGAATTGGATGTGGGACACTACAGTGCCATCATGACATAGCTATTGAATTATACAGTTATAATTGATAGCTTTAAAAATAGCAGTGACTGAAAGTGCCAGGACTGGGTGAAGAATAGAATGTAACGTTCAATAAAAGGTTGACATAAAGTTTACTGAAAGCCAGGGATGTTTTCAAGGGAGAGTAATTTCCAGGGACAGCTGCGATGCGATGCCAGGATACCGAGAAACACAGACTCTAGAGCACAGGGTGCCCGGGAAGCAATTGGCAACACCAGCCGTGCTAGAAATGCCAGCTGAATTGCCACTAACACATACAAACAGGTCCTGACCTACTCCTGGCAAATCCTTAGGCAAAAAGCAAAGAAATGAAATATATTCTTTATTTAAATTACATTTTGTTCGGAGCCGGACCAGCTAGGCCGCGCTGGAGGGCCAGAGGCGGCCCCCGGGCCGCCAGCTGAGTACCCAGCTGTGCTAATCTTCCAAGTGGGCTTCTGAAACTTCCAGCGGGGCCTCCCACAGCTGCCCTCCGTCCCAGCTGGGTCTCATCAGTCTGCTCTGGGTCCTGCTTCCACTAACACGAATCAGCTGCGGGGCTAGATCATTACAAGCCCCATACTAGAACAGGGCATCGCTGCACTAACACTAAACACATGGCTGTGTGTACAGCTCAGCCTTCACCCCCCTTCTTCAGCAGGCCTGACACTTCTCCTGTGTGCCCACCCTAAGCCAAAGCCATGACCCCAGCAGACCTGCCAGGCTGCCCAACACTATTTACTCTCTGTGGGCAAAAAGAAAATTCCCAGGCACCGCTGCTTCCACAGGCTGGACAATATTTGAAACCTAATCCCTTTCAACACCTCATAAAGGCACTAATTGGGTATCTCTCTTTTTTTTTTATTATTATTAACCACTTGACATTTTCTGTGCCACAGCCTTGTTACTTGACAGCACTGGACAGGAAACAATGCAGTGCAATTATTAATAGAGGAACACATGGAGGCTACTTTGTATTAAAAATAAACATTTTGGGGTAATTTTAATAGAGGGACTGAGTTTTTATTATAGCTGCAATTTAGGCTCAGGGTGTAGAAGGTATCGCAGCTGCTGTACACCTCCTATACAGTAGCCATGTACAAGATTGTATTACCCCCTGAACCCCCTGAAATGGTTCTCTATCGCCCGACTCTCCTGATCACAGGTGCCTGTCCTGTTCTGCTTTGCCCTGTCCTGCCTTGCAATGCCCTGCAGTGTCCTGTCCTGCTTTGTCCTGTCCTACTTTGTCCTGCCTTGTCCTGCACTGTCCTTTCCTGCTTTGTCCTGCACTGTCCTGGCTTGCCTTGTCCTGCCTTGCAATGTCCTGTCTAGTCCTGCCTTGTACTGTCTTGCAATGCCCTGTCCTGCACTGTCCTGCCTTGCAATGTCCTGTCCTGTCCTGCCTTGCAATGTCCTGTCCTGTCCTGCCTTGCAATGTCCTGTCCTGCCTTGCAATGCCCTGTCCTGTCCTGCCTTGCAATGTCCTGTCCTGCCTTGCAATGCCCTGTCCTGTCCTGCCTTGCAATGTCCTGTCCTGCCTTGCAATGCCCTGTCCTGTCCTGCCTTGCAATGCCCTGTCCTGCCTTGCAATGTCCTGTCCTGTCCTGCACTGTCCTGCCTTGCAATGCCCTGCCCTGCACTGTCCTGCCTTTGCAGTGCCCTGCACAGTCCCAGGCTGCTATATTTTAGCAGAGCTGGAGATTATTAGTAGCTATTGAAGCGCCTGTTGCCAGCGCTGCTGGAAGCACAGAGCCTTGTCCCTGGCCCGGAGATGAGTCTGACAGTATAATAATAACACAGCAGCTTTAATAACAGATAGTGTTTTGAAAACAGGCAGCAATAGGGTACAGCAGAGACACAACACCGAGCCTGCTCCCTCCAAATGTTTGTTGATCCAGCAGCCAGCTCCCTCCATACAGAGCCTGGACTCGCTGCTGCTGCTGCTGCTGATCGCCTCGTTCTGCCTCGTATTTAGATATGATTTATTTTTTGGTTTTGTAGCACAAACAGAAATCCATAAACTGTCGGTTCAGCGCCATTTAATCTTTGATCAGTTACTGGCTAGGAGATGAAATGCCTAGATTGTCTCCTCTGTTTAGGCTGTGACATCCCTCCAGCTAAATGAACAATAAATACTTTTCATTTCTACTCAGGTTCGTCTCTGTCATTTTCCTATTAATAGGTGATAATTTTTTTTATTGCAATTTTATTTCTTTTTGGGTTTTTTGGGGGATACTATAGCATAAGCTCTTAATTAGAGCAGCAGGGCTGTGCGAGCTCCATTCAGCTGTTTGTATACAAAGGGAAGAAAAGGCACGCTGTCAAGAGCTGCACATTGAAAGGAGCGCTCTGTACCCCTCATTCACATCAGCGCTGGAGGCTCCGGTGCCTCCCCTGTCCCCTCTGCCCGCTGTCACTTCATCTCCTCCTTAGGAGGGGGAACTCAAGTGGCATCAGTGACAAATCCGAAATCAACCGACTTATACAATAAAAAAAAGAAGTTTGTTCTTTTCGCCTGCGGCCGTGTGCACAGGGGCGAGCTGCTGGAAATCACAGACAGGCGAATGGGTGGAAGGGAGCGCAGCTCACTCTTCAGATGGAAATTTACTTGTATTTGTTTATTTATTAATCCTGCACTTCATCCTGCCGCTGATTGTTCTTTATTGACAGGGGAAGGGATTTAAATATGGACGTATATATTCGTCTTTATCTATCTACCCATCGATCTATCTATTCTACACATAATTGCTATGGATTTTTATCGATAACCTCTAGTTACTATCAGGAAAGTTGTACACGACAGGTTAAATAATTTAATAAGCAGGTCCATGTAATTAGGTTATTTACAAGCTGTGACAAGGACTGTCTGATAGAGGCACGGGGGGCAGGAAATAGACGCGTTGGGTGACCTCTTGAGCCTGCACTTTGAATGATGAGATGGGAGAGGCAGAGGTAAATAGAGGGATGGAGAGCAGCTGATATTTCACCCTAGCACATTGGCTGGGGGAGCCAGCCTCTGTCCATAGCAATTGGGGACACTAGAGGTGCTGTGTCCAGGCTCTGTATGGAGAGTCTGGGGACAAAGCTGATGAAAGAGAAGCACTGGCTGGGGACCCAACCTCTGCCTGTGCACTGGGGGGACAGAGTTGCTGTGTCCAGGCTCTTTATGGGGGACAGAGCTGATGAATAAAAAACACTGGCTGGGGACCCAACCTCTGTCCATGGCACAGGTGGGACAGAAGGTTTACTGTATCCAGTCTTTGTGTGGGGACACAGCTGATGAAAGAGAAGCACTGGCTGGGGACCCAACCTCTATCTATGACACTGGGGGGACAGAGTTACTGTATCCAGTCTTTGTGTGGGGACACAGCTGATGAAAGAGAAGCACTGGCTGGGGATCCAACCTCTGTCTATAGCACTGGAGGGGGGGGGGGGGGCAGAACGATTGCTATGTCCAGTCTTTGTGTGGGGACCCAGCTGATGAAAGAGAAGCACTGGCTGGGGATCCAACCTCTGTCTATAGCACTGGAGGGGGGGGGGGGGGCAGAACGATTGCTATGTCCAGTCTTTGTGTGGGGACCCAGCTGATGAAAGAGAAGCACTGGCTGGGGATCCAACCTCTGTCTATAGCACTGGAGGGGGGGGGGGGGGCAGAACGATTGCTATGTCCAGTCTTTGTGTGGGGACCCAACCTCTATCTATGACACTGGGGGGACAGAGTTACTGTATCCAGTCTTTGTGTGGGGACACAGCTGATGAATGAGGAACACTTTGCAGTGACAGGGAAACCTGTGGATGCTTTCTCTTCCTCACACAGAAATAATCTCTGACAGCAGCCCACACCAACTTTGCAAGAGGAGAAGTTTTAGAAGTTTCTCACCTGTTTGGTCATAGAGTCTATTAGCCGCACATAAAGGTCTTGTTCTGTTCTGACTCCTGCAAAGGGGGGCAAAAATAAAAGGGGTCATCATATGTACTAAACTCACTGAACACGGCTAAGGATAACATGGCATGCCGAACACAGAAGCTGCATCAACAACCAACAGATCACTAATGAAAATAAATAAACGTAGAGCAATCCCCCACTACAAAAGTCCCATCCATAGCTGGGTCAGTTTATTTCTGGGTTTCTTTTATTCCCCATATTTCAGAATAATGAATCTTCAACCCAAATAAGCTGTAAAACGATTGATACAGTTACTGTGTGTACATTATATTTAACGAGATCTTTGGAACAAGTCTCTTACATTGACGCTTCCTCAGATAATCACATCAATTATATTGTTACATTAGAACATTCTTGTGTCTTTCTATAAAGGATCAGTCCTCTAAATATGTCCTAAGGATTGCTTCGTAGTAAATATGTATATATTTGTAGGGATACAATAGTAAATAGCCAGTGTCTGTGTAGCGCATAACATAATGAAGAACAACTTACCATTACTGTATAATAATTGCAGTTTGTAGTGAATCCCATTATTAGTTTTTTCGCTATTTGGTTCCTGAAAATAATAGCAGATTGTTACTTTGATGGGTCACAAATCAGAGAACGTTTTGCCCTGTTCTGTAGTTGAGATGACATATAAGGGGGCACGTTGGCTGTGTTTGTAGCTCAGGTGACAGTGACACTATGAAAAGGGTTTTGATTTTTTTTTTTAGCTCCTGAATCAGTCAATATTTCCTGATAAGTTTCTAAGCCATCAGCTAAGTCCTGAGAAGAGCCAGAGGTGGCTGGAATAATAAAAAGGGGCCACCTACACGTGGTCCTGCCGCCTCTGGAGTACACTTAGGGCTCATTTTGTAGGATTTCAGCTGAAAATTATAGTTTGACCAGTTGCCCCAATCTGTGAGCTTTGTGGGCACAGACACGCATGGCAGAGGTGCCCATCGCTATGAGCTAACATTCTATTATTTTTAGATCTGAATGCACCTGCGTGACAGGAGCAATCTATTTTTATTTGTTTTTATAAGTTGTGACTACTTTCCCCAATCTGCAGAATGTTAGCAGCATTAGAAGTAATGAATCCGACGCTTGAAATTATGTTTTTCCTTTTTATTTCCCATTTCCTCCAGTGTGTTCCATGCACAGCCGAGGTGCCGGCTAATATGCATTCTAATTGCCCCCTTTGTATCTGCCCCCAGCCAGTGACATCTAGGTGCACTTGCAGGAGACATACTGGCCCATATGCATTCAAATGAACCGTTTACTTTTTGTTTTTTTCTCTAACATGTTCCTTCAATCTGTGAACCTAAGAACACTTGGATGCACCCGAGTGGCAGAAGTGATTGCTTGTATGAATTAATTTAATTTTTCCTTTCATTTGACCCCCCTAGTCAATGAGAACTACAAGCACATGCAGGACAACACAGATACATTCTAAGCATTCAGATAATAATTAACTTTTTACTTTTTTTAATTTTCCCCAATTGTGTTAAATCTAAGGCTGTGTGTCTCCTCATGCATGGCATAAGTGATAACCCTTAATAATTAAAATAGTATTTTTATTTACATTTGCCCCATGACCCATTTGCATTACAACTGTATATATTACTAGAGTTGATTATAATTCTTTGCAGTTTTTATCAGTTTACCCAAACTCTATTAATAATAGAGGTAATACACA